TACATGAAGGAGTTTGAGCGACTCGCCTGTCGGGTACGCAACTGGCCAATCTCTGCGCTCATCGGGACTTTCATAGGAGGTCTCAAATTCGAGCTAGCCGCAGAAGTAAGGCACGACCGACCACGGACCATGCGCGAGGCCATGGAATCTGCACGAAGGAGGGATGAACACTTAACGGCCACACGGAGGGTCGGTCGAGAGAGTATGCGTAACTTGGAGCAACGGCGCACGGACCAATACTTGAACGAGCGCACAATCATAGATAACGCACCATCTAATGTGAGCAACGTCCAGCCTAACCCGAGACCGCCGAACAACTTTCGAACACCATCTCCAAACGTTAAACAACTCACGTTCGAGGAGATGAGACGCCGACGAGAGAAGGGTCTCTGCTACAAGTGCGAAGAAAGGTTCACCCCTGGCCATCAATGCAAACAAATTTTTGTGATTGAGGTCATTGAAGAGGACGAGGAAGAGGCCTATGAGGACCAACCAGCGCAGCAAGTGAATGAAGATTTGGAGATCTCGGTTAATGCAATGGCAGGCCTACAGGGACCAAGAACAATACGACTGCCCGCCACGATCAAGGAACGGCCAATCGAGGTACTAGTCGACACCGGCTCATCGCGTAACTTTATTTGCGACAAAGTACCTAAGGACTTAAAGCTCAAGGCAACAAAGGTGGAACCGTTTGATGTAAGGGTTGCCAATGGAGAGCGGCTAAGATGTCACGAATATTATCGGGAAGTACCCATCAACCTGCAAGGTGAGATCATCAAAGCCGACCTCTATGCATTACCTATTGTGGGGCCCGAGATAGTATTTGGAATTCAATGGCTTGAAGGACTTGGAGAAGTCACGGCGAATTTCAAGAAAGGCATAATGGAATTCTACTCGGGAAGCCGACTCATCATGTTAAAAACCGAACCGAAAGGAAAAGGTCGAGAAGCCGAAATGAGGAGTTTGGAAATAGCCTCGATCCTTGAGGACAAGGATGTGCTTAAAGGGGGCGGGAATGATGCGGAAGTGGAGATCGAGACCGGAGAACACAAGGGTTGGACAGGCGTGGCCAATGGGCGAGTGGGCGAGAGACGCGCATCGGGTGGTGATGCGCGGGCGTTGGGCGTGCACGCAGGCAGAGTCCTCATCCGCATAGGAAAGACGGGCACTCGACGGCACGCGCGCGAGAGGATCAGTTGGAACCGGGCGCGCAA